GGAACAACATTATGAATATGGCTCATTAGAATTTGCTCAAATTGAGGGAAGAAGGTGAGTCAGTAGTTTAACSCAGTCTGAAGTGCACGTGGACGTTGTTCCTACCAGCAGCACAGAATTTACAACTGGAGCAGCACGAGGACAAGAATTTTAAATTTCATGAGTTGTGGTCTCATTTTCAAAACCCTCTTGACAAGACAGGTTCACACCAGAACAGGAAGGTGTTCCATTGACATCTATCCACATCTGCCACAAAAACATCTGACACATTGAGCACCTCCTTTCAAAGATCTCATTGTGGTCCAGTCAGTGCCTGGCCCTGGGAACAATGAGCACTTGGTACTTGAATCTTCATCCATGCAAAGGCTCTGATCAGTGATTTGGTGCTGAGCAGTTCCAAATGTGCCCTGCATTTGGTCTGGCTAATGAGAAGGAAGAAATTGCTTGGTTCTGGAAATGGAAGGGGCATGGTGGGTTGATGAGGAGGTAGAAATAACAGGAATCAGAAAATCAGATGAAAATGCTTTAGAGAACACAGTGCTAAGGACAGGAAGAGTGTTAGCTGCACCAAACTACTGATTTGGGCTGTTTTGGGCTACACTGTGTGGTTCCAGCTCAAGGCTAAACCATAACTGAATCCACAGACTGGAACTCAAACATTGGAGCCTTTCCTGAGCATAATTATGAAATTTAGCTCTGTGGAAAACATGCCTGAGAAAAAGAGTCATACTGAAAACACCAGAGGGCTGGATGCAGTCATCTCCCCAGCTGGGGAGACAAGAAGTGGTACCTGCTACCTCAGAAATTCTTCCTGTAAACAAGCACAGGTTTTATTAGAATGAGGGGGTTTTCCAGTCAGCCTACTGGAGCTGTTCCACTTCAACTGGAAATAACCACAGTTTGGGAATAATTTTCTGGCTGAAGGGCTTCCATGTGCAGTGGATAGGAAAAAAAGGGACTATTTTCCTCTGGTCCAGCAATAACTTGCTTGTTTTCATACCATTGAAATATTCACCAGCATAAGGACAGAACTTGAGATTTCATCCATCCTCCAAAACTGGTGACGAATATTTCTCAAAAAACTTATGGAAACAGGAATTGGATCTCATTTTCAGAGGATTTGGGTGACATTCACTAAGCAAACACCAGAAAATTTAGAAATAATACACTAATTAYATATAGAAACTGTTGAAACTATATATGTACATAGGTAAAATTTTACATATTCAATTATCAATCCTATCTCTGACTCATCTAAAATTGTGATATTGGATATATTTTACCTTGGTAAAATACCATCAAAAACTCTACTTTCAGTTATGTATGGACACTATTTCCCTTAACTGCCCACACATAAACAGCAACRTTTTTCATATCCCTGTGGACTTGAATTAGGAATTTTTTAGGCCCAATTTAAGAAGCAGGCAGCTATTGTCACTAGGTGGCATCCTTACACCAGAAAATAACACGGAATTAACCTGCACGAGGAGAGGGAAATTAATGATTTCCAGTTTGAGGCTAATCTGAGTGGAGGCTTCAGTGACACAGCTTTCTGCTGCCTAATCAAAATAAACACTACTGATACATCCAAATGATGACATTCATAAAAGATTACAGCRGAAAGCAAGAATTTTGTTTGTAGGTCTCCCTCAAAGTGTGAATTTTGTTTCTTTCAAGAGAAACATTTGAATTGAATGGTGGCATAGTTGTGAATGATTATTCTGAAAAGTTAACGGTTTGGCAGCTGAGGATGGTTCAGACACCTCTGCTGAGCCAGAGCTGAGCAGAATTTTGCCTTAGGCTTCATCATATACAGAATGGATATTTTCCTGGAAAAATACATGGTCATGATTTAATGTTAAATATTGGCAAATGAATTAAATAGTAAATATAAATTATAGCATCTGTAGAAGTTAAGCTTGCCTAAAAATAATACAGAACTTTATTTTTTAAACAGCACAGAGCTGCTTAAACCATAGAATTTTCCAGGGTCTTTATAATGTTCCAAACAATCTTCACAATCCTAATTAAAGAGTTACATTATTCGTATATCCCCCTCTGGCAATTATGTTGGAAAAATATATCAGACTGACTGGTATTCTTTTTAGTTTTGGTGATGTGTAACACAAAATGGGATACTTTATCTTTTCAACACTATTGTGAATCTTGGAAAATGCATCAGTGCACAGTAAATGATTCATCATATATTGCCAATGATGAGAATTCACATCTGTAAGTCCAGATGTTCAAACTGTGGATATGAAATCTATTCCTCATGTTTGACATAGGTAAAAAATGTTGGTATAAATAATTAACCTRCAGGTATGACATTCTACAATGTACTGAAGAAGTTATCACTGATAACCTGTGAGATCCTGAGSGGAAAAAATGGAAGTTCCAGACCTGGATGRATATTGTTCCATGAAWGATATTTTACAAATACAGAAATTARATCTGATTTTTACCCTGAACTGTTACTAAACTATAAAAATATAAACATAAATATAAACATTAYGTGTGAGCAGACAGGTCACTTCACCTGAGAACAGCAATGGGACAGTATTGACAAGTGTGACTGTCAAATAGCACAAAAACATTCAACATAATTCTGAGATATTTTGCACTTTTGACACTAAAAAGATCTCCTTCTCCTGTCCTTTTCAATAGTCTTTTGTTTAAATGCAAGTTACAAATTTTGAACACTGGTAGGCTTTTCCAGGTGCTCACCATTTCCAGCACCTGTAAGATTGAGGCTTGAAAAATTTTGGAAAGACTTCTACTTTTTTTCTCTTCCATTGAAAAGCTGCTATTGCATATCAATTCACTCCTGTCTCGATTGCAGGGTTTTATACTGGTGCACATCACACTGATTAACCTCTGCCTTCCCGTGAAAATCAAGCAGAGTAACATCAGAGACCTTCACTTCTCCTCCCCTCTTCCAGTCTAACCTYAGCTTCATGTGTATTTGACAAATTATTCGATAAAATTTAAGTTTTTACACAGCCTGGTTAGGCATGTTATAAAAAGAATAAAAAGTTTATTCTTTCCCTGTTTAAGTAAACAAAAAACTCATGGACCTCAAAGATCAGTTTTAGCTCAAGTGATACACACACAGTTTTTAGCTAGCAGCCTTTTCAGACAAACACATCAAAGTTCAACAATGACCATTCAAAACCCATTATTTTTGCACTTTTCTCAAAGAAAAGTATTAACAAATTAAAATACAGAATTTTCTTCTAAATCCTTCAAAATTCCAAGGTGACAATCCCAAAGCAAAATGGATTGAAGCATTTAAATTAAATTATTTGTACGAGAGATTTCTATAACTAGGCTGCTACTACCTTAAAGGTGGAATGTTTTGTGTACCTGTTTCAAATGGGAAGGTAATGCAAACACAAGCTGTTACTCATCAGCAGTGTTTTTTTATGTAAAATGGAAAATTCATGTAATGAATAAAGGATTAGAACACAATGAGTAGAATAAGCTGCACCTTTCATGCATTTCTTTGTCAGTYGGTTTTTTACTCATATGACAACTAAAATCAGAAGACTAATTCACATTTTAGCAAATAATACTTTTGGCAGTATGAAAACAGCAACTTTCAAGAAAAACCTTATTGTTTAACTGGTAACCTCTGTATATTTGTACTTTCCATCTCTCAAGTCTTTTATTTTGAAAGAAAATATATTTTTGTCTAGAGTAAAAGAAAATAYACAAATACCTGACTTTTAAAACTGTAAAAGCAGAAAATATTTTTGGAATGGATTCCCTGGATAATAACCTATTCAGATGTAGTTTAGGTTTTTCACCACTTGTTTCTGATATATTGCAGGTAAGAATATGTGGACATAAACTAATTTCTCAGCTTTCAAGAGCTAGTGTGGTCYAAGTTAATCAGTGTGCATGATCTGGTATCAAAAATAATTTTGGCTATTGAAAGCAGATGGGGGAATTCATTAGGAATAAAAGTCCAAAAGTTTTATATACTGTTGAGCTGAACATAAACATTTTATTCAGCCCGTCTGCCATCCAACTTCCATTCTGTTTCTTGAYGCTGGCAATAAATTAATTGATTGTTCATATATTGAGGAATTAATCACAAGCTACCTCACCAGAGGGTCAGATAACCTACAATAATGCTTACAACAGCAAAGATATTTCATTTTAAAGCCAAGTCACGAACTGTTGTTTGCTTGAAGTGGGTATTTTAACTCTTGTGYTGAAATAGATGAAGAGATGCAGAACAAGGGATAATCTTTCTTCYTAAATTAATCCAGCTAAATCTGGTCCTAATTAGTTATGGTGCAAATGATCTTTCAAGATCAAGATTTGAAAAGCTTTTAAACCTTTATGAGAGGTATGTAAAGTTTTCTTGTTAGCCTAATCCTCACTGTTAGTCAATGRCCATGCTGGTGTAGGAGCTGTGTTAACATGAGGGGCAGGTTTTGAATAATTTCCTTCAGAGGAAGAAGAGGCTGGGGTGTGCTTTGCTAACAAAAGGTTTGCATAAAACCTTTCCAAGGACATGCATATTGGCTGAACCTGCATCAGAAAATGGAGACAACTTTGGGGCACAGCCTCCAAGAGCTGCATAAAGCTCCTGGCTTTATACCAGGACCAGATTTCCCTTTCTAAAAAAAATGAAGTGCATGAAGAAGAATTAAACCTCCAGGCATTGGAGGACAGACTGGAAGAYCAGTCCTGGAGGGTGCATGGCATAGTTATCATCTCCTGTCACTGGGTAATGATCATCAGTACTTGTCTCAATGAAGGAGCATCCCTAATTGGCATTAGAAGCCTGTCTCATTTTCAAATGTCAGTTAAAAGATTCTTCAATATTCACTGTGTTTGTATCTAGGTCTTCTACCCTTTTCAGCTGGCTACCTTTAGAGATAAAGGATTTGCATCCTGGGGTCTAAGGTGCAGCATTTTATTCCGTGAACTGTGTGTCTCTAGTTGGCAGAAGTTGGTAGAATAAAATAGAAAATATGGAAATTCAAACTTCCTTAAGATATTCTTCCTAAGTATTGGAAGTGTTTAACTCCAATAGTTAAAAATATGAAATAATAAATAAAAAAAGTCTTTGAATTCTTTCATTATGCTTTTAAAATATAATTTCATTATAACTTGAAATGATGGAATTTCCTAGTAGATGGCTAGAAAAACAGCCTCTAAATACTTTGTGAGTTTTGATGAAGAAGTGAAAGTTAGTCTATTTTTCTGTGTATCAGAGATTTGATAAAAATATTCTTTTCTCATATTAATTTTGCTACATTACAGAATTAGTCTTGTCAGATTGATTTTATAAGTCTTTGTCAGTGGACCTCCAAGACTCTATTCAGCCTTTATCAGAGAAGGGCTTATTCAATTGTTTTCTCCTTCAGATAAAAATATGAGGATCCATAGGACCTCCCATAATTCAGGAAAACTCTTAAAGTGCTCAGTGGGAAAATCTGGCTTCCATTTAAGCAAATAAATTTCACATTGATCTCTCAGTAGGAACATGATCAGGTTAATTTATTTACTTTGCTCTATCTGAGGAAAGGTTGAGAAGGACTTCAAGATTAGACCATGAGGTTTGAGGCCTACAGCAAATTCCAAGGGATGAATCTTTGTTCCCAGGCTAAGCTGAGACTGGAATATGTCAAAAACTGTAGAAATAATTTAGAAATAAGGGTGGGATAAAAGCGTGACAATCTGTGCTTCATGGATTTTGGRAGGTCAGGCAAAATACAGCATCTGACTCTCCTAAGACTTCTTAACCCATTAACTCTGAAGAATTAGAGCTCAGATTTGTTTTTTTTTTTTTCATGGCAATGAAGAATATTTTGATTAATTGTAACAATGTGAAAGACTTGACATTACAGCTGAAGATTCTTCTTGTAATTAATTTGTTAATGTAAAGGAACAAATAAACCTAGCAAGCAAAAATACATGTCACTCCTGACCAATATAGTTTATCACCACCATGGATGATACTATTGTAGTTGATCATCAGAGAATTTAGCTGTCTGATTTTAAGATGCAGAGACAAATGTAAATATCGAAAGAGCCCTTTAATCCTCTTTTTTTTCCTTGAAAAGTAGAAAATTTCTTTAATCTTTAGCCTCTTTTTTTTTTTCTGAATATTCCCTTTGAATGCTCAGTTTATGCTTTCTAAACCCAGAAATCATTGTGCTACTCCCTAAATCCATCTAGCTTTTACTCTTTACCTGCTGTTCCAGGCTATTTTTAGTCAATACACACTTAGTCAGTAGTGCCAAGACTGTCTTTGCTTCATCTAACAAAATGTTTTAAGAATACATTTTTGAGGAAAACCCATATGGTTTGCTAAATCACAGCTTCAAAGATCCCAGTCCTATAGTGATACACTTCCCAGCCAGGCACACAGGAACGCTATCTCAGCTCAGCTTCCTGGCACTGCAGGAATTAGACTGAATTCTATTTTTATATCTGTTGAGTATAAGATCAACTCTTCTAWCACAGAATCATCAGTTTGCCATAGTTTTGTTAGAAGGCAGCATTGAAAAAAAACCAAAACATTTTCATCTTTAAAATGGCAACTTATCTAAACAATAAAACTTGGTATCAAAACAGTTAAATTCTCTTTTTTACAGGGTGCTTGTTTCTCAGATTCATCTCAGCAGATGAAAACAAAAGTGGTGTAAATGACTAAGCCAAATGTGTTTCTCTGCTTTTAAGGAAAGCAGGAAATTGCTATTTCCATAATTATACAACAATCAATTACCTTCAGGATGGCAGATGTCATTCAACATCTCACTTCAGTGAGACACCCTTGCTGTTGTTAATGCTGCCTGGAATGCAATATTAATGTGGGCAGCACCAYGAGGATTAAGTCTGACATGTGGAAGGTTGCAGTGGAGAGCTGACAACACTTTGGTGTGCTGAAGAAAGAGGCTCAGAATGACAGATTGACAGGACTGTGAAGTTTGTGACATAAAGATCATTACCAATTAAGATGGAGGTGAAGGAAGAACTGGGGTCAAAAGGGCACCTGCCTCGTCCTCTCTCAAATTTGTGTGATTCCAGTTGAAACAGATGATCCTTAAAAAAAAAAAAAAAAGGACAGAGAACACCATAAACCCTACAGGCAAAGAAAGCAGTCCTTAGAGACAAGCTTTAACTTTGTTATACCTTTGTAGAGGATTGACTTCATTAGGGAGAAAACACAATTATGGTTGCTCACTGATGTACTRGCAAAAATTCTCTGGGTTTCTACAAATCACCTTTGTGTGGGCACTGCCCAAAAAGAATCCAAAAAATATGCACTAAAATTGCACTTACTTAATTTATGTGGGAGTAGGGAGGGAAGATTCCTCTGTATTTCTCCAAATTATCTAAACATTAAATAGATAGCTCACCATGGAATGTGTTTTCCCCCTTTAAACATTTTTTTCCCAGTAGTTGTTAAATATATCATACTGTGTTATCTTCTCTTCATAGCTTTGAGATGTTTATATATCTTCTTCATCRAAGTATGTTTAGGAACAAATCCCCAGAGCAGATGTGATTTCTTCAGTGGATTTAACAGAATATCAGTATAAAAAAATATTGGCAACTTGCTTTARTTTGTCTGTATAAGGCTGTAAAGACTGAGAAAGAATTTACAATTTAAATTTTCATTTGCAGTGGTACGTTTGTCTCAGCTTTCACAAAAAAGCCCATTAATGTCTGATTAAAATATCAAGTGAGAGCACAATATTTTTAATTTAGATATAAACAGAACAGCATGCCACATAACACAGAAATAGGGGAGAATAAAAGGGCAAATAGAAAGAAAGCTATGAAAATTTCACAAAAAAAAATGCCACAAAGCCAACAAGTGTGACTAGCAAATATTTGAATAACTTAAAATTAGCCATTCCAGTTCTGTGTAACAGTTTTACTCAAATGTCTACTGAAATGCARATTATACCAACATATTGAATAAATAAAACCTACCTGTTCATTCAACTCTCAGTTTCACATKGTTAATATATGAGACAAATATTTGGTGAGGCATAAAATCACATGCAAAAGGAAACCAAATCCCCCAGAATTCTGAGAAGTACTTGCCCAAGTCTCTCCCTTACAGAACACATAATCAAAGAGGTCCAAGAGACTTTTTAGTCATAAAAATCAGGTTTTATTAGACCTAGATTTTGAGGTATTTATGAGAATAATTCAGTACTTGCACAGAAAAAGCTTGATCACCTACAACGTACAAAACTTCCCAAGCAACTGCAGTTGCCCCAGAACCTAAATTAATATTCTCTTCAGCTTCAAGAGAGTCATGCTCTCCTGAAAAATAAAAATAATTAAAAAAAAAAAAAACCCAAACAAACTCTATAAAAAGACAAGGAGCAAAGAAATAGTAGGTGGAAAACTGGAAAGATGATAATAATAAAAAAAAATAGCTTGAAAGGATAAAAATAAAAAAGGTATAAGGAAAGTGGAAAGTTGTAGAGCTCCTAGTTCCCACTAATTGATGAATATTTGAATCTTTCTGYGCATTTAATTTAAAGCAGTTAATCTTTAATTTTTGTCTTGGGGGTTTTCAGAAGCCCCTCCACTTCAAAACATTATTCACTTCTTAATCCCCAGATCAGCCAAGCTKATGTACCTGTCTTCCATTCCCAACTGTCTAAATCATACATGTCATTTTGCTGCAACTTCTGGTTAAAAAGAAATATTTCCATTAGTTAAAGAGGTTCTATGAAAATGGGATGCAACTCAGAATACAGTTGTGAGAAAATAGGACATCTGTTTAATGTCTATTTGCAGTAAAAAAAAAAAAAAAAAGAGTAATAAAATAAAAAAGAAAAAAAAATACGAATTTTAAGTAATGGGCCTAAAACTCATGAGTTAACAAGGCATTCGTAATCTCACCTCTCCTGAATCTCCTTTGTTGGTCTAACCCCGTTCTGTTAGCTAAAGCTGATGTAGCAGAAAATAACCATCCTGGGTAGAGACTGATGGTGCAGGAATGTTGTTTTATGCTATATCAGCAACTATTGCACATCAGTAGTAATTATTCCCCCTCTGCYGTTGGGTAAATGTCAAACAATGAAGAAATATCTCCTTGTGTGTGGAAATYTCAGGCCCATTCCATACTTTTCAAACATCACATACCATGTATTTTTCAAACCTAAATACTGTAGCATTTTGAGTCAACACTGGATAAAAAGATAGTAAGGTGGACACAGAAAGGAAAAGAAAATAGTTCTGAAATAACACAGAAGGACTTGGGAATCATAATGGCATAAAATCTGATGTAAAGGATATTTTCCTAAAAACTGTCTRATGTTATTTATCGGAAAATAGAAAAAAAGGTTACTCATGAAAAGGTTTCTCTTCTGGGAGCTCAACTAAACTGTTTGTCAGTGAATCTGTTCAATAAAGATGTAGAAACATCTTTTGGAGAGTGGAAACAAAAACCAAGAGTTAAAAACTAATAGATTATTCTGGTCTTCATGCTTTCTGCTTACTTTTCTGAGCAGTAAAATACAAAATGGATGTGCCTGTGCAAGGAAGTAATAAATTAAAACTGATTACAGAAGAAAACATACTCAGGTACAGTGATCATGTGTGAGAAAAACATTTTTTTGAAACCATACTTGAAGATGTTGTATTATCCACATTTCCTGGTTTATATTTTGTCCTACACAGGGAATGGAAACTGAAAGTTTTTCTGCTGTTGGTGAACATGATCCCACCAGGTCATCATAAAAAGACACTTCATATTTGGTCTTCCCCTGATAAAACACCACTGGTGTTCAGGGAGATGTGGCCAGTACAGGAATCTTCTGGATGATGTGGGACAACTTTGGGCTAATTTTGTGCATCACAGTACACAAAATTACCCCAAAATAATGAAAAAGCTAGTGATGTAGTTAACCTTTTCCCCGAGAACCATTAAATCAATGGTAAAGACAATCCCATCTCATTTARCATTCATAGCGTGAATGTGTTTAAAACAGCTAACTATATGGAATGAAAATGCTAAACAATATGCACAGTATCCATTYGCTATCTGAAATTTATGCATCAGGATGCATCTTAAATATATAATCTAGTGTTAACACTGTAGGTAGACAAAAAATTGGATTTCAGTGCAATTTGGCACAATTTTTAAGAGGAGCTCACCAGTTTTGATATAAAGCAGGATGTGTAGCTCATAAATGCTTGCAGACATATGTAACTGTCTGAAAAGTTGCTGAAAATGTAAGCAATGACTCCTCCAAGAGAGATTTTCCACCTTCACCTTTTAGGACAGCATGCCAAATATTCCATGGTTGCAATAAATTATTCCCATCACTGGGGCAAGTAACTGAAGTTCAGGTGTAAGATGTGTCARCTTCCATGGGATGCCAGTTTAAATGAAATAAGCGTTACACATTAATAATCAGCTTTGAAGGCTAATTCCATAATTCTAACCCTCCTTGCAGTTTGTGACATTGGAATCCCTGGAGAAATGTCAAAGTAAAACTGACAGTTTCCTCACAGATTATACAGCACATCAATTCAACATCACAATTTATTTTATGGGCATTTTTTAGCGGTTAGGGTAAAAACTATGCAAAAGCACATATGGAGGGCTGGGAGTAGAATTACGTGTTTCTACATGTAGCTTGGGAAAAGAAATGGGGTTCTGGGTTTGATTTATGATGCCAGTGACTCAGGAAACATAATACACTTTCAACTATTATTAAAATAATAATGTTCTTTTAAAAGAAATAGAAGATATTACCAAAGCATCAAGACACTTTGCCATTAACTTGACATGAATTGATAATTTTAGACAATGAAGACTAATGTAGGCTGTAAACAATAGTGAAAGAAAAGGTCAATCAGAGGCATTAAAATTTAAAGACTGAATTTAACTTTTGTTGCAGAAAATTGCTTTCACTAATGCCAAGTRCTGCTTTGCTCTGGGTCAAGACAACACTATGCATGTGATTAATTTAAAACATATGCTTACTTCCATTCCAGCAAAGTATCTAAGCCTATTCTGAACATTAATAAAATGGCTGTATCTTTTCAGTAAACCAGGGACTTAAAAATACAGGGCTTTTAGTTATGTTTTCCTAGGATATTATTTTTATGAGAGGAAAATAATTTGATTTTCTATAAGAATTTGTGGTGTTTTGTTTCTTTTCACTTTAAATTTTATTATTTCCCACTTAACAAAAAAACAAAACATATCATATTGGCATTTTTTTAAAGGATATTGAAACCATTTCATAACCTTTAATTGCACCCTTAACTGTGTGTGCATGTGTTCCAACAGTACTGTCATGGTCTGCTCTCCAGGAGACCTGTGCATTTCTGTGGTTGGTAGGGCTTTATTAGTGGGTTTTTTTGTTTGTTTTTTTTTTTTTTTTCTTTCTGGTGTGTGGTATGTTTTGATTTGTTTTTTGCAAGTTTTTTTTCTAACAAGTCCATGTTTTTTATCTTGTTGGATAGTAAATCATGTCTAGAGGACAGTAGGCAGAGGCTGTGCAGATTTTTGTTACTATATTTTTAAACACTGTCTATGCTATTCACTACTACTCTAAAACACTGGACAAAATTAATTCTCAGCTTTAAGCAAGAGCTGTTTGTTGCATTCCATTTCTAGGGTTCATGTAATTTATACATTTTTTGAAGAGAACTAGGAACACGAAGGTTCATATGCAAAGTTAATTGAATAGGAAAACATTTCTGTTTTAACCTTAACAATTCATATTTAAAATGTCATTTTTTACAGCCATGTTCAGTCGCGCAGCCTTATGTGAGGAACCTGTTACAAAATTAATCAAATATATTATTTGTAAAGCATTTCATGGGTGAAACTGGGTTTTTTTTCCCTCCTGTAAGAAATTGAATACTGAGGTAATGCATAGAAATTTTGTGACCATGACAGAAGGTGAAGYGCAATGTGCAGAACAAACCTCATCTTGATTTCCATTTTCCTTTGCACTATAAAATTTTTAGTATAAATTAACATATAAATTCACTTTTTTGCAAACATTCTTTTATTTTGTATGTTCTCAAAATGTTATTTTTCCCTTTTTTTTTTTTCT